ACTGTGTTCCTAGTCCCGGCCCTCTCCCTTAATATTTCCCCTTTCGCCGGTAGCATACCTCTCTTGTCACGGACGTTGGACAGACGCCCCTTTTTGCCGCCCATTCCCTTTCCTTTGACGCCCATCTTCCATTTCCGGACCGTTTCCTTTCCTAGCTCATCCCAGTTTGGACACTGTAGATACGTTCCCACAGCCGCATGCTACGTTCCCGTGATCGCCATGCCCTTGCCTTTTCTTTCTCGCCCTTTGTTCTCCCTTTGTCATCTTCACTGCCTCGCTCTCGCGCCTTGTCCTTGGTTGCTAAGCAGCCCTCTAGTATATAAGGACCCCCCTAGACGCTCCCTAGTCCCCATCTCGACCTCTTGGTCATTGAGACTAGGTGAGTGACCATAGTGTTGTATCTCTCTTCGATTGCTAATGTATAACTTGGTCATTGGGACTAGTCTGTCGCTATCTGCGTGAAGACTAGCTTCGTAGGTCTCGTGCCTTCGTGCCGACCTCCGCTCTGCCCTCGTCGAGTTTCCTGTCACGTTTATCCCTCTCCCCCTCCCTTTTCCCTTTCGGCTCCTTGCCGCTCGCCTACGGGGTCGTCGCTGAACGTCGACCCGAGTCTACGCGCCTAGTCGCCGCAACATTAGGTCGAGATCTCTCCCCCGGTGCTGACGCTCTGAACAAGAGTGTCCCCGCCGCCGCTACATTGTCTCCCCCACCCTGGACTGCACCGGCAGACTTCACGCGTGGGACACCGACAACCAAGAGTACTGCCACCGACGAAAGGACCCAGATGACAGACTCTGGTACTGGGTACCGTGTGAGCAAAACCCCTGCCCGAACCGTCATCACCGTCCTGCTCGGATCAACTGGAACGCCTTTGCGGACGAGTTCATCCCAGTCCCTGACTCCCCCACCGCTAAGTCACCCACGACTCGATCCCCCATCCCCGGCACTCCGACCAACGAGCTCGAAGTAGCGCTACTCATCGCACTTCCCCCATCCCCTATCATCCCCCCAACCCGTCCACCGTCCGCTCCACCCATCATGGGACAACAAGGCGGACAACCGCAGACGACAGGCCCCGCCAACAACCCCCAGCAGACCCAACCAGGCACCCAGACGGCGATGCAACCTCCGGACCCCATGGCGATGCTCGTCCAGTCGATGACCCTCCTCACCCAGTCGATGGCCCAGCTCGCCGCCTCGACCACAGGGACCAACAGTCTGAAAGCGGTCCAGAAGCCCTCCCCCTTCAAAGGAGAACAGGGCAGCGAAGCTCGACGCTTCCTAGCGGCCTTCACCCTCTGGGCCATGTCCCAAGGTTCGACGCTGAACCATGTGGACAACTTGGGCAACACGATTAGTGCGCACGAGGACCAATGGATTCGCGCTGTCCTCTCGTTCATGTAGGATGGTGCGGCCTTATGGGCTACCCCGGCGATGGAAGAAGTTACCCAAGGTACGACGCCATTCAAAGGATCCTGGGCCGAGTTTCGCAACCAGTTCAAGGCCCGATTCGAGACGGTCGACGAGGCAGTCGATGCGAAGGAACGCCTCCGTACGCTATGGCAAGGTTCCATGACTGTTCCGGAGTACGCCGCCCGGTTCAATGAGCTCTCCACCCACACGGGCTACTCCAAGGCCGACCTCCGAGACCGCTTCTACGAACACCTGGCGGACTCCATCAAGGACGAGTTGGTGCACACAGCGAGGCCCATCGCCTCTCTCGAGGACCTCATCACTGTCTCCTTAGACATCGACGTCCGCGTCCGCCAACGCCGTGCCGAACGAGAACGCCAGCGTGGATGCACCACGGCCACCACCACAGCCGCCAAACCAGCGACCCCCCTGCACACCACACCCTTCACACCGCCGGCCAGAGACCTGAACGCGATGGACATCAATGCTACTCGGACGCGCGAGGAGTTCAACCGCCTCATGCGCGGCAAGTGTTACGGCTGCGGGTCTACGGCGCACGTCAAGAAGGATGGCGGCCACAACCGGGACATCTGTGGCTACTGTCGCCGCGTAGGGCACCGCGAGACAGTATGCATGGACAAGTTCCTGAAGAAGCCCCGCTCACAGAAGCTCGCTGCCACAGAGGAGGGACCTGAGGAACCCCAGGTTGCAGCGTCGACGTCGACATCCGCAGATGCTGGAGCGACCAATGCTCTTATCGTGCAGCTCATGGAGCAGCAGAAGGCCCTTGCAGACCAGCTTGCCTCCCTGCAGAAGTCTTTTTAGAGCGGGCGCACACGAAAGCTGCCGCAGCGGCGCCCTCTGGTATGACTACGGACCCTTCGCCTCCCCAGATCCCAAACCCCTGCCTGTACGATAGTATTAGTTCGTGTATCATTCCCGAATTGAACCCATCTAGCTCGCATTTCCGCGTCAGTGTGATTCTTAAAGGCAGAAACCGTAGTGTACGTTCCGCAGCTATGATAGACAGTGGGGCAACAGCCCTTTTCATCAGCCACCGTTTCGTAAAGAAGAACAATGTTTATTTACATAGGCTAGCTAGAGACATTCCCCTCTACAACATCGACGGCTCCAAGAACAGCGCAGGGAGCATATCCCATTACGTTAGGTTACAAGTACTTATGGGCGACTACGCAGAATGGCTCGAGTTCTTAGTTACAGACCTGGGCCCTGAAGACGTTGTATTAGGTTTACCTTGGCTTCGTAGAGTCAACCCGGACATTGACTGGCAGGAAGGCACCATGGAGGTTGGTGCGGAGGAAAAGGAGGCCAAGGCGGAATGGAAACCTGGTATTGAGCAGATCGCCGCCAACCGGGTGCAGCGAAGGAAGTGGTGGAAGGCCAAGGTTCTGGAGGACACAACCGAGGAGTTATGGTGTGCCGCCGGGTACGCCTACTCCACGGAGCTCGCACAGAAGGCCAACCAGGGCAAGCCCAAACGCACATTCGAGGAGATCGTTCCAGAGGAGTACCGACAATACTCGAAGGTCTTCTCCGAAACCGAATCAGAACGCCTCCCGGAACACAAGCCGTACGACCATGCCATTGACCTCAAACCTGACGCCCCAGAAACTCTACGCTCTAAGGCCTACCCGATGTCGCCCAACGAGCAGGAGGAAGTCGATCGGTTCCTCAAGGAAAACCTTCAGAAAGGCTACATCGTTCCCTCCAAGTCACCTATGGCGTCCCCGGTCTTCTCCGTGAAGAAGAAGGATGGCAAGCTCCGCCTGGTCCAGGACTATCGCAAGCTCAACGAGATCACGGTGCAGAACCGGTACCCTCTCCCCCTCGCGTCAGACATCATCAGTCGCCTGCGCCAAGCCAAGTACTTCACCAAGTTTGACGTCCGTTGGGGCTACCACAACGTCCGCATCAAGGAGGGCGACGAGTGGAAGGCCGCGTTTACAGTCCACGATCGAGGCCTATTTGAACCGCGGGTCATGCTGTTTGGACTCACCAACTCCCCCACTACGTTCCAAGCCTTGATGAACTCAATCTTCGCTGATCTGATCGCCGCAGGAAAGGTTGCTGTCTACCTCGATGACATCCTCATCTTCAGCACCACCCTCGAAGAGCATCGCGCCGTAACCCACGAGGTGCTGAAACGACTCCAGGAACACAACCTCTACCTGCGACCGGAGAAGTGCGAGTTTGAGAAGACGGAGGTAGAGTACCTCGGCCTGATCATCCGTGAAGGCGAGGTGGCCATGGACCCGGTCAAAGTCAAGGCCGTCACCGAGTGGCCGGCCCCCAAGAACCTGCGCGACTTACGCGGCTTCCTAGGGTTTGCCAACTTCTACCGTCGGTTTATCAAGGACTTCTCCAAGCACGC